TGACGATTATACTCGTCATGGAGAAATTGCAGGACTTTGTGTTGTGACGAGTATACTCGTCATGGAGAAATTGCATGACTTTGTGTTGTGACGAGAATACTCGTCATGGAGAAATTGCAGGACTTTGTGTCGTGACGAGTATACTCGTCATGGAGAAATTGCAGGACTTTGTGTCGTGACGAGTACACTCGTCATGGAGAAATTGCAGGACTTTGTGTTGTGACGAGTATACTCGTCATGCGTAAAAAGTAGTGACCATTGGCTGCTTGAATTGTAATTTTTGATCAAAACGAAACATGTTCTTGAATTTCATGATGTTTAGGATATTTTGAACCCAGGACGGAGTTAAACAAATAAATAAAGAATACGAAAAATTTAAGATGAACTCATGCGTTCCCGTATGCAATGGCTGAAACAGCGTAAAAGTTTGTAATGAGAATTTATTTATTATCCGATGGTAACGTTTTTTGGATGTTAGCCTAGAAGGAGGCAAAGGCAAAAGTTGGAAAGTTGATTTATGATAGAGTTCCTTCAGGTATGGTCACCATGGAACAAGTGCGTAACTCCGACCAGCAGCCGAGCCCATTGACAGCTGGTGGTCTTAAGTCACCTAGCTATCGAGTGGTGTAAATGCCAATTGTTTGTCGTTAGAACCATATGCTGACATTAGAGTAATGGCCCAATGCCGTGTTGACTAGAGAATAGTTATTTTATTGGGGTGGGAAAGGCAAGGATGTTTTCTGTTAAAATGACTGCGATCAACCCTGCAGCACCTTTTTGCAGAACTTATTTCAGTGTCAAGACGTGTAATATATGTTTATGTCAAACAAATAACAAAGTATCAGTAATTAAAAAGTTGGAAATTTCATAAAATAAATCCATCTTTTTTTTATCCAGTATTTGAGCAGCGACACTTATTCTGTGACTGACGAGTATACTCGTTGTGGCTCGATTTCCGTGAAACTCATGTGGCCGCGGTAGCCGAGTGGTAAAGGTATCGGATCCTGGCTTTCCTTGTCACGAGTTCGAGCCCATTACCACTAAAGACCCGCCGTGTAGGGCAGCGATGCACGTTAAATCTGCCGAGAACTCAAACGTCCTCCCGTTGGTGTGGTGTGGTGTGGTAGTTAGGAGAGGGGTGCCAGCTCAGGTGTCGTCCACGTCACTTGAC